TTGAGATATCAAAAAAGTACTCCAGAGTGTTGTTCAGCATGGGGGTGAGTAGAAAATGAAGGCTAATCATGTTTTGGGTGTACTATTCCTTTAAGGGTCTTACTCAGGGACCCAGAGTGGCAGTCTGTGTGAACTCAGAACCTCTGGTTTTCGAGCTCTAACCACTAATTATTTCTCTGCATTTAACTCCTCCTCTTGGGGAGCATTGGGCTGCCATTGTGCGGTACCCAGGGAGCAATCAGGGGTTCAGGGTTTTTTGTTCAGGAACTTCAGAGCACTGCTCCAACCCACTAGACCAACACTCCCCCATTCTGGTTCCAGTGACGCTAGTGTGGATCTGGATCCAGTCCAAGGAGCTCAGATTGATTTCAGCTTTTAATGGAAACAATCTGAAATACTGAAAATCTAAACCTTCTGGACCAGAGAATGGAAAGACCTGGACATCCCATAACAAATGAATAGATAGATAGATAGATTAGATAGATAGATAGATAGATAGAATGATAAATAGATTGATTGATTGGATTCCAGTTCCAGGTTTTATCCAGCAGCCCAACAAAACCTTGTTTTTGTTTAGAAAACATGCAAATTGAAACGGATGAACGGGTCCCCCCCTTTGGAATGGGGGTCGTTTGTTTAGTTTTGTTGTTGCTGGAATGAAAGCCTTTCAAAAATGAAAACTCTTTGCCTGTGTTCGACACAGACTTTGGGTCCCTGAGTAAGACCCTTAACCCCACACTGCTGCCCAGGCGCTGAACAATGGCAGCCCACTGCTCCCCAAGGGGATGGGTGAAATGCAGAGAGGTAATTTTGTGGCTCTGTACTTGTTTCAGTGTAATGACTATAAAAGCTGGAAAAGAGAGGAATGGGTCGGTTCTATTCAGCAGGCTGAAAGAGAGACTAATGGAGAAATGGACCAGAACCTTTCTGGATAACAACCTGAGGAGAAACGGATGGCGGACCGCTGATCCCAAACACAAAGACAACCAATGTTTAAGTCAGAAAGAAGAGGAAGCCTCTGAAACCTTCTAGATCTGAGGACGGCTGTAGAGGAAGAACCGCTTAAAATCCCAGTGGATCCATGGATCTGACTGGAACACATTAGAAGTCCAGTTCGTCTCCCTCTGTTACTCAGAACTTCATTCACCAATGAATCTCTGAAGTTTTTCTTGTTAACTTGCTGCTGTTCTGGCCTAGTACCGAAACAGGCCTGTAGATGGCAGCACCTTCATGTGAGGAAGTTACAGCAGAAGTTTAACATCTACTCTAATAGATATGTTAGTAATTAAGAGTTAAACACTTTTTAATATGCATTCAGAACAATATATACTAAAATATATGTTTGCTAATGTCTATTTTGCTGAAAAACTTGGACTGAACCATTTGATGAGAAACGGGTCAGTTTTGTCTCAACTTTAATTCATGCATAATGAACATTTATCAATGGTGTGCTTACAGAGTATTTATTAACACTATATTAGTAACTAACCCACAGAGAGGCCATGTTGTAAAATGGAACCCTATCATCTATTTTCATTCCAAAAAAGTAAAATAAAAAATAAAAAAATCCACTGGACTTGGTTTCCAAGTTTGAAGGCGTTTCTCTTCCCATCCAGGAAGTTTTTTTTCAATTCAAAATATCAGAAGAGGGGTTTTTCAAGGCTTTATAGACTAAAGCAAAAACCAAAGGACGTTCTTTGGAGGACCGGAATGTTCACATTTTGGACAAAGAAGGCAGGTGGTTTGAGAGGGGCGTGAAGGAAGCCATCTATGTTAACAAAGAAAACCAACCTTAAACAAATGGGGGGGACTCAGGTTTCAGCTTTCAGAAACCTACAATGCAGCGATAGAGTTGATTCCTTCCCGCTATCATCGCAGCCCCA